ATATATATATAGGGTCTATTTATATTTATATGTACATGTATATATATTATTATATATAAAATTATATAAGTTTATGTTTTTTAATTCACGTTGATTTAGTGGACTTTAATTTATTAAACGTGACTCTAACGTATTAACAGCAACGCTAGCCCACCGAAATACAAAACACGCACCCTTTTTTTTTTAATTTAAAGGCTATCTTAAAACACACAGGCGCACAAAGGCTCGTAAACACTCATCCATATACATTGCCTAGTTTTGTAATAATAATAAAATAATGAAAAAAATCGATGCTTGCTTCAATACTGCAAAGAAAGAAACGCTATCAACTTCTTTAACCAATAAAAAAAAATACCAAAAGCACCGAAAAGTTCTATTTATAATCCTATTAGGCTTATTATATTAAAATAATGGTGTTAAAACTTTATCAATAATAATCAACTTAAATTGCTTGTACTAAAGTTCTTGAAGATGGAAATAATTCTAGCTATATTGGGTGGATACGTGAGCAATGTCATACTCTACAATCAATGCCATAGCCAGGATTTTCAAAACAGTGCGGGACAATATCAGGATGGACCCACTTTACGTGTTAATTCAAATAATGTGGACCCAATTTCTTAAAAGTTGACCCATTTTACGCATAAAATATGAAAAATGTAGACCCATTGTCTTTAAAGTTTACTAATTTTAAGCAAAATATAAGAAATCTAGACCTTTTTTTAAAAAACCGGACTCATTTTTTGCATAAAACAGCATAATTTAGACCCATTTTTAAAAATGTGGACCCATTCTTTGTGAACCCATTTTGTCTGGCTCCAAGGTCTGGTCTGGCTCCGAGGGTCCACCCAAAATAGAAAATTGTGTGGAGCTGTCCCAACTATCCCAATAGCTGGCTACGGCATTGTCTACAATCGTGATCCCTCCATTATAATGAATATTATTATTATTTTTATTATTATTAATTATTATTATTATTATTATTATTATTACATAATGAGTAGGCCTACTGTCCGTTTTCGTTTGTACACCTTGAAAATCAGGAAATAAACGTGTTTATGTGTTTCGTTACCGTACTGTAATAATCGATATACTACGTTTACTTTAGCAATAGTCTTATCATATCGGCAACAGAGTTTCGTCAAGTGATGATTTTTTTAACCTTGAATGTAAAGCTCGTTTCTTTCATTTTTCATATAACCTAATTGACTTAACACCTTGTAAAAGAATATTAGGCCCTATACGACAAGTATTCTCCCGTGTCTTCAGACGATATTTCATTATGTGTATCTTTTTGTGTTTTAAGCTGTGAGCCTGCAGTAAATTAACGTCAATGGAGTCATCTGCTAGTGTGATTTTTCCAGGCTGCAATTCAAGTTAATACGGTTCCTAGTTTATTGACAATAACGAATTCGTCATGGAATACATAAAATTATAATTGGCAAAAGGCGCCAAATCAGTAACTGTCGTCAGACCATTATCGACAATTATTACCCCTTCTCCCCACCCTCACCTCCTCGCCCCTCGAGGTGGATTGCATCCGAAAATTGGCCGCGGTTAAACCAGTCCAGTAGTTATTACTATCAGTACTGTGTTTTGACAAAATTGCTTCCCATAATTATATAAGATGACAGGCCTCTATAATGACCTTGTTAATGATCTCTGTATTCATGCCCCAGCTTTGAGTACAGTCAACGGACTTGGAAACTATAGTGTTCAAACCAAACTAATTATATCCTTGATTTTATTATGAATCATCGTCCATGAGACGGTGAATATACGGTATTCATCATCATCATCATCACCACCATTATTGCCAACATCATCATCATTACCACCACCATTATTGTCATCATCATCATTATTATCCTCACCATCATTGTCATTAGGCCTATTATATTAGTTATCTGGATGAATTTAAATAGACCTATTTATTTTACGATTACAGGTATCCTGTTGTGATGGTTCGTAATGGCTGGTGCTGGAACTACTTCTACTACCGGTATTACCCATGCAGCTACAGGTGAAATTTCGATGAAAATATGATTCAAAATGATTAAAAGGAGATAGATTTTCAATGCTATAAGGCAAAATAAAAGTTATTGCTAGTGCCACATCCCCGCCCTCATCCGAAATTTGGAGCCTTAGGGCCTATGTGTTATTTTTAAAAAAAACCAATTATTTTTGCGGGGAAAACAAACAATGTGAAAATTATTTGGAGTATTATATATTATATATCTATTTTAGAATAGTAAATATGAAATAGTAAATACCCTCACCAAAAATAATTTCAAATCTTGGAAGTCAAACTAAAAATTAATTTCATTTGACCTAAAAATAAATATGGAAAGCTTTGTACGGGTCCCGTTCACACTCATTCATTTATTTGTACATTCTTACATCTGTTCCTTTTTACGTTCATATTCATTATTTCATTCATTCATAAATGATTCGTTCATTCTTCATATTCATTCTTAGACATAGGACTACATTATTTCATTCATTCCTCCTTCATAATGTAATTATTTGCATTCATTAATGTCTATTCATTTAATCGTTCATCGATCCATCCGCAAATTCATTACGGTAGTGTTCATTATCCATTTGTTAATTACCGTATTTATTCGAATAAATTCCCCGCTTTGAATAAATTCTCCCTCGAATAAACTCCCCCTCCAGAGCCTCAATTGGAATAAACGCCTCCCTCGAATAAACACCACTGGGCGTTTACTTTTTCCTCGAATAAATAACTGTAAACAATTAAAAGCAACTAATGTTCTACTCCAGTAGAATTATATTTTGTTTTAACCTGGTTGGGATCAATACGTCTTTATGATCACACAATAACACATTTGATGGTAATTATGTGTTGTAGTTTCACATTTACAGTAAAATTAATGGGCGTTTATTGGAGTATATACGGTAGGCTACCGTACGTATCTATTTTACTTACTTTATGTGGTGGCTTGGACTACCACGGATCTCTATCGTTGTCTGTCCTGCGCTGTTGTCTTAAGTTGATTCACTTTCACATACCACAACTTCCGCTGTGAATTACTTCATTAATATAATGGTGTGTTCCATAAAGGTTTTTT